TTGGAAGCAATTAGAGTGTCTGGATCTTATATGTGACTATATTGTTTTTAATTTTTTGGTTGCTAATAGACTTAGGAATAAAGTTGCTAAACTAAATCAACATATATATTTTTAGAATGTCTCAGTTTTAAAATGGGAGTTAAATGATATGTTACTCTGAGCAAGGGGTTTTGGTTTTATACACAAATGAGAAGTTATGGATTTATTCAAGATTAGAATTTATTCAGATTAGAATGACCATGCAAATTCTGTCAAGAAAAATAAAGAAATAACCCTAAAGAACTACAAAACATGTAACATATATTTTTCCACTCAAGAATGAAGAAAATACCTTTAGCTAACTTATACACACCAGATATTTCATATATGTAATGTATGTTACCTTTAAATTTTTATATATTTTTAGGACAAGAGGACCAAACACTAAGGAAAATAAATATTCCATTTGATTCAACATCAAAAATTGCTCCAAAGTTGCAAGCTTGGAGATGTTCCAATCTCACAAACTACTCCAGCCAAGATTTAGGCCTATAGAGGCTGCAGCATCTGGTGTATGTGCTATTTGATCAAGAACCATACCTTTTCACTGACTCTTTATGTAAGGTGCTTGGTTACCTGATTCTATGCATGCTGGGAGAGAAAAAAAAAGTGGTACACTGAAAATAATATTTTTAGCTCTTTTAACCCTTAAAAATATAGCATAGCACACTAATTTTCCGTCTCTAAATTTCATTCCTTGATGATTTCTTTACTTTCTTAACAAACTTTCTCTATTATGGGGTTCACCTGATGTGCACTAGCCACCTTTAACCTAACAGTTATGGATCTCTCTGTGTGTATATGTATGTGTGTGTGTATGAAAACAGTAATATATGTGCTTCCCTGCTCCCCTATCCAACCTTCCTTTATCCCAATCTTCCTGTTTCCCCAAGATCCCCCAATCCTCCCCTTCTCACTTTTCTCTCCCCGTCCCCCCTTATCCCCACCCCAACCCACCCCCAAGGTCTCAATTTTCTCCCCGGCAATTTTGTCTACTTCCCTTAGCCAAGAGGATAACTATATGTTTTTTCTTGGGTTCACCTTCTTGTTTAGCTTCTTTAGGTTCACCAGGTATACACTCCATGAACTTTATTTGTGGCTAGAAACCAATTATGATTGAGTACATCCCATGTTCATCTTTTTGGGTCTGTGTTACCTCGCTCAGGATAGTGTTTTCTATTTCCATCCATTTGCATGCAAAATTTGAGAAGTCATTATTTTTTACCGCAGCATAGTACTCTAATGTGTATATATTCCACACTTTCTTCATCCATTCTTCCATTGAAGGGCATCTAGGTTGTTTCCAGGTTCTGGCTATTACAAATAATA